TTTGTACTGTTTAAAGATTATTGGGGTCATTACCTGTGCTTGAGCCATTGTGGACCTGGTCTCACCCTCTTCTGTATATATACACCTTGGTTTTATTTCTCTCTCTGATCTGTACTTCACCCTGAAGATGTGAATTGCAGCGCTTGGGGAACTTAAGTGTTTACTTCTTTCCTTGTGGTTATCGGCATATACCTAGATCACAGCACTTTCTAAGTGATTTACTTGCATAAATGGATTCTGCATACACTTCTTCATCCTCTCTACAAGCTATCCTGGACTTTGTCCTTTACGTTCTGAATACTCCTCTTCGATGATCCAAGGCCCTAGATTAATGCGTTGGAAATTTCTCCAGCCATGCCTAAATTGAAAAGGTTATGCCTAGATCAATCCTCCTAGCGTGTCCTGAAGATGTCTGGCCGCCCCTTTGATGAGTTCAGAAATCATCCTTAAGAAACATTTTGAAATAAAGAAAATTGAGTGGATGAAGCCTTTTCGTGTTGTAAGACAAAAAAAAAGCGTGCTTTTAATATGACCATACCGGAAGTTATTGGAAAAATTTCATGTTGGACTACTGTTTGATAACACAGGGCGTGGCGTTCTGATCTTCAAGCTAAGATAGACCTGAAATTGGCACTCCTTATTAGAAATAGTGACTGGACTAAGGATGCCAATCACAACTATGTGTGAATCTCTCTCCTCGAAACAACTAAGACAATGATACCTTGTGCTTTTCAGCTATGGTTTGAAGTTTTGATAGTAGTTCTAACAAAAATTGACAGTGTTGACATAGCCAGAGCATTTTGCAATTTGGAGAAATTCAGTAATTTGAAGCAAGTGAACGTAACCTTAAAGGTATTTGTGTATGCATCTATGTCAGAAGCCTTGCATTCCAAACTGTCCCAGAAAGATTCACCAAAGCAATCAAGCCCTTAAGAAAATAAGGATCTACAGTCACTAAAGCAGATAAAAGCCAACACAGTAGTGATTTTAAACAAAGATGATTATATCTCTAAAATGAATGACCTTTTATGTGATACTACAACATATTCTAAACTCATAAATAATCCTCTCAACACTGCCAGACACCCAGTTCAACAAAAACTGAAGTCCCTATTGAGGAGGCAAGCTACTCATTAAACATCTTACGCTAGCGTCCTCCTGCCATACATATGCGGTCAATCAGACCCACAAGCCCAGCCAACCCAGCAAGACCCATCATTAGTTCAGTTGGGTCAATCCCTTCCTCAAACTATCTAAATGGTTGGTTTGCTATAAATCCCCTAGTTGGCAACATTTCACTCCAATATCAAGAATGTGTGGTCTGGTTGATAAGCTCAATAACTTACACACGTAATTATGATTTTTAAACTGTGGTCGGATTTTTGATGTAGCATCATCTCTTTACAGGTCCCAGTTAGGTTTTCCGGTTCTCATAGATTCCCTGGATGATATTTCACTGTCCGTCTATGAGGCTTCATCGAACTCATCAAGCTATGTATTAAGTTATGAGTTTCGAATTCAATGAGTATTATGCTCAAAAATTTGGTATGTAATGGGTAATCCTCTCACCTGTGATAAGCTTATTTCTCTATGGAATTCTTTGAAAAGAAACTATTAAGTAATATTTTACCACCTCATTCTGGTTTAGATATTGATGATGTATTATATATATTAAAACTTTTCCTGCCACAACAACAACAGCCCTTGATCAAATTCCACTTATCAGATTAATTTATGAAATACCATTCCTAGACAGTCATTTTGGAGTAATTATTACTTTTGATTCCAATTTTATGAAAACCAATAATGTGTGTTTCATACATTCATTTATTCCAATTTGCCTTTTTATGGCAAGTCAAACAGTCAGTATTTTCAACAATGTTTTCTGCATTCTTGTAGAATTTGCAGTCGATTTAACAAGTGAAGAATACAATACTTCCATATCACCATCATTAGGCGCCAAACCTTAGCCCGCACCGATCTTACTTGACATTTTCAGCGTACTAAGAAAACTTTTAATTTGATCATTTTTATTGCATAGAATATCTTAATATTACCATTTCACAAAAATTTCTCACACATTCCTTCACAACTAAAAACCTGGAACGTCAATGTGGCATTTAAAAACTCATGCACTGTTAAACAAATGTTAATCAAGAACTCCCCCAACAACACAATTGGTTGCATTTATAAAGTTCCTTGCAAGGAATGTAATATGTTTTACTTAGGCCAGACAGGAAAAGATCTTGCAACTAGAATTAAACAACACAAATACAGTGTTAGGACAGGCCAGGAATCCAATGCTCTGTTTGTTCATTTGAGGGATAACAAGCATTGCATTGACTGGGATAATGCCTCCTCAATATTACCATGTAATTCAATTGATAGTAGGAACATCATAGAATCTAGTCTTATTAAACATACAGAAGCATTCAACATGAATTTGAGTAACAGCATGTACAAGCTGGACAATTTTGTAATTAAGAAGATTTGTAACCAGGTGAGAAGGCTGGGTCACCTGACCATCTGACCTGACCACCAACCGGTGTGTGCTATTTAAAGATTATTAGGGTCATTACCTAATACCTGACCATTGTGGACCTGGTCTCACCCTCCTCTGTATATATACACCTTGGTTTGTATTTCTCTCTCTAGTCTGTACTCACCCCTGAAGATGTGAATTACACGAAAGCGCTTGGGAACTTCGTGTTTTCTTCTTTCCTTGTGGTTATCAGCATATACCTAGATCACGCGCACCTTACAGTGATTTACTTGCATATATATATATATATATATATATATATATATATATATATATATATATATATATATATATATATATATATATAGTATATATACACATATACATACACACATATATATATATATATATATCTATATATATATATCTATATCTATATCTATATCTATATCTATATCTATATCTATATCTATATCTATATATATATATATATATATATATATATATATATATATATATATATATATATATATATATATATATATATATATATATATATATATATATATATATATATATATATATATATATATATTCGTAAAATGGGAAACTTGGGGTTGGGTGCCTGGAACCAATTAGAATAAATCCTATAGGTTTCTCTAATTTTGGACAACGTCCATTTCGGTTAACACTGCACTGCGCTATATATTATCTATATGTTAACTAAAGTTCAGAATGATCAATAATTTCAGTGAAAAATGCAAAAATATTTAAGACACCAACAAAATAGATGCTCTCTCCACTGTTTTCAAAGCCCAACTGACGCCTTGTGGTCGACTCACGCATCTTATGGGCGCACAACAAATTAGTGCCCTGTACTGCATATATTGTCAATATATTAAATAAATGTTAAAATGACCAATAATTTTAATATAAAACATGCAAAAATATTAAAGAGCACAACTTTATTGGTATTTACTCACTTGGAAACAAATGTAAACATAGAACAGATTACTGAATTGGCAGACAGGCCCATCAGCTGATGCTCACAACAAAACGTGTGATGTTCGTAAGGATTTCGTTAATTGAATTTTTGTTCGTTAACCGAATTGAAGATTCTTATGGAAGGTAATTTGTTTAAGCTGTGGTTTGATATCGAACTATCTCACTTGTTAACACTTGCTTGAATGAGTGTAGGGGTAGTCGCTGGTACCTTTGATGAAGCTGGGTGAGATATCAGGTCATCTCACGGCGTGTCACCTTTGATACAGTCGTAGATTGGTTGATAGTTGAAATCGTCACAGCTGTCCTGGGTTGTACTTGTAATTATCTTAGCTTGTAAGTTACACTAGACACACAGTTACTGTTCTCTTCACTCGTTGTTCCTTGGTTTAATGTAAACACACGTGGTGATTTTCTAGTTATATTGGGTAGTCATGTCTGTACAATTATTGTTATTGACAGACGAATGAGCATTAGCTATTAGCTTGTAATTAGCTGATATAATTAGAGAGTGGTACAGCCTGGAGAGCTGGTCTCACGACACAGCGTTAGAGTCTCATGTCTGGCTGTGAACTGGGGAAACTGGCCGACCTCTCTTGAGTCTGGTTGTTGGAGAGTAATCCATACTTCAACACAGACATATATCTAAACAGGCCCACTCACACACGGAGGCTGAGTCTAGATTTATGGGCTGTACACCCGAGAAGGTGTGAAAGAACAAATGTTTATGTAGCTGTATGCTCAATAGTCTGGGTGGTAGAAAGTATATAATGAATATATGTCCTTAGCCCATATTTATATAATATTAATTGAGGCTAATACACTCGTTAACCGAAATTTCGTTACCCGAACCGTTCGTTAACCGAGGGACCACTGTACTGTGTTAATCTACTCCACGAAGATACTGGAAAACCATCTTTTTAAAGTGAGACATTGTATAAGTATGGAATCACAGAAGAAGGCAGAGCATTCCACAGTTTGGCTGTGTGAGGAAAGAAGGAGGTACTATAATGGGTTATTCAGGTGTGACCGACATCCACAGAGAAATGGTGGGCACTGCGGGCAAGACGTGTGTTATGAGCCCACGTCCCTGCCGGCGGTACACAGGATGCCAAATCCACCGAACATTGCTCGTTAAAGTACCTATTATGTTATCATAGGTAAATGCATGGTTTATATGAGGTAATTTGTTTATCACTACATTATTACTGTATTTTTGGTGTGCCTGGGTGGGCTGATCCCCATCTAAAAAAAAAAAAACCTTATTCCATTATCTACCAAATATATAACATGTATTTCTTTTTGAAGTTAGGTGTTTTTGGAGCTTATTTTTTATGAGTATCTAACACAGTATATGACATGCTTTGACTTCAGGGGAGCTTCAACCCCCAACCTGGTAGTGGGGCCTGCCACTTTGTGTGGGGCGGGCACAATGGCACATTGCTGAGCATTAGATAATACTGGAAAGTTTATTTGCAAGAAATTGTATTAAAAAGGTTTTTTCTTTGTGTTTCAGTGGCTCAAGGTGTCCATTGAGGGATAGATGTACCAACAAGAGGTTCCAGAATTATCAGTATGGTGATGTCGATGTGTTCAATGCTGATGAGAAAGGGTGTGGTGTTCGAGCTTGCACAGCCCTGCCACCGTAAGTTATTATATTTGTCTTTAATTTACATACTGGTAATTTCTTCCACCTTTAGAATTACTGTATCTGCATTCTTTTATTTATTGAAATTTAAAACCCCCATTTGGTATGAATGGGTCTGATGAAATTGCATGTGACAATTACTGTGCATGAAGAGTAACCATAGTAAGTTGAAAGAAGACTTACCCTAACAGTGATTCTTGTCACCAAAACATGAGACCTAGAATTTGATGTTCTGTTTGATCAGCAAAGGAGTATCTCTCTCTCTCTCTGAGAGAGGTTACTTTCATTGAAATATGACTAGTCAGTTTTTTGTCATTAGAGTGACTCATCAGTTGGTAGTCACCATAATAACCTTTGATTTGGCCTAAAGAAATTGAAAACATTTTTGTTTTGAACGGAGAAAAATTTTCAGGTGGGATTTTTAGATGACAATAAAAAATATAAAAAGGTGTATTGAAATGATGTCATCTGCATATGTATTTCTTTGTAAAAAGCCGACAATAATTATTTAACATCAACTTGTGTTTTTGTTTATGATTATTAATAACCAAATGGTAAATTAGTTGAATTGAAAGGTACTACTGTGTGTACAAATTTCCAGGAAATAATTCCTGTGCCTCAAAGGGCTGTGACTTCAGCGAGATGTCAGTGCATGAGACATAACCTCAATGGCACTGAATGCCAGCAAAATGACCTGGAATCTCCACTGCAAAAACTTGGCAAATCAATCTGCAGCTGCTATGAGGCATATAAGTCACACAGCAGCAGCTTGGTAGAACAGGTATTACTAGGTCCAGGTGTTGTAAGTGGCATGCAGCTTTAAGCAGGATATGATTGTGTTTCATCAGAAGCTATCAGCTGTTGAAGGTCATGAAGTGCTTTCAGCAATTAAACTGAAATGTTGTCATCATGTAGCTATTAAATCAGTTGCTTCTTGTGATATTCAGGTATTTTAATGAATTCCATAATGGTTTTGCAAGGAAAAGGTAATGAAGGATGATTTAATATTTGTGTACTGTACAAAGCAGTCAACAGGAGTGGGTGATTCTTGTTAAAAAGTATACAGTAGACAGGAGATTAGAATTGAAGTTAACGATTTAGAGAAAGAAGAAAGCAGCTCTGATTTAGGGTGTAGCAGAAGTAATGTTGTAGTTCATTGCAGAATCTGTTACTTAGTAATTGAATTGTGTCGTTGCCAGAATATTGTGCTTCAATCAACTTAATATTACTGAAGTTCCAATTGAAATAATGAATATGTGGATTTTAGTTCCTGATGTTATAATTGTTTTTATGATTTCCAACCTAAGAATGTCTACGAAACTAATGGTGCTGACTAGTTTGTTTAAAAGAAAATTAGAGTAAAGATGAGCATGAATTATCTGGTTTTTAGAAGAAAGAATGCAATTTTTTCATTCATCATTCATATGGGGCACTTCAAAAAGCTTGGAGGGTTAATACCATTTGAAGGATAAATCTATTAACTCACTTAATGACTTAGCTACTTTGTTTTCCATGGGATGGCAGGTTATGGGAAGAAATAGCATACAGGTATTCCTTGGTTAACACAATAGATATGTTCCTAAAAAGTATCGTGCTAAGCTAAACGTATAAAGTGAAAGTGTTAATCCTGTAGGAAAACATGTAAAAAGTGAGGGTTGCATGTTTGAGTGAGATCTTCATTACCATCACCATTTTGGCTGTTTCCACTCTTTCTAATATTGATCTACTTTTACAAAATTGGGCATTACATTGTTGTGGTCTTCCAGGTTTTTTCATATTCTCCCAGCATGTGTGCACATATATCATTGTCACCATGCCTAAAGTGAGTGCTAAAGTCAGTGAAGAGAAGAGCAACAGAGTGCATCTCTCAGTTTTACAGAAACTAGAATTTTTTTTTGCTGTCTTATTACCCTGTACTGTGCTCATTTTGCTAATATCCTGCACATACAGTACTCTATATGTATGTGTAAAATCATAAGAAGCGTACATTTGAATAGTTGGGAATGTATTAACATTGGATTTGTGGCCCCGTCAGACATTTTTGCGAATTCCAATTGTTATCAGGTGGCTGACAACCTGCTGTCACTTACATTATTTTTACGAGTGGTTTCCAACAATCTACTTACTGCCTAACTGCTCAGTACCTGAGAATAATGTATGAATGCAGTAATATCACAGTTAGCACCACTCCATAGTAGAGTGCTGATTCGTTATACCGTAGTGCTCTTGCTTGCATAGTGGAGCTCTAGGGGGAAAAATCAAACAAAAGTACAGTAGTCAAAAGTCACGAGTTTGAATACTCACAACACGAAAAGAGCAGCTCTCTTTTATTTTACGCACTCGGACAATCATTGCCATGCACTCTGTTTACTGTATAAATATGCTGCGCTTACAAAAGGACACATTGTTGTTGATGTGCTAATTTTTTTATATTAGGGACTTATTTTTTACTCATCATGTTTGGAAAACGGTCTGCAAGTTTTAATGCTGGTAGTGTATTTAAAGTGCCATGCAAAAGTATCTCTCCTTGGATGTAAAATTACAAGTGTTGAGGTGGTTGGAAGCTGAAAGCATCAGAGGGGTGGATGTCAGTGCTGCTTTCAGCTTGGCTACATTGACTGTTAGAACCATTATTTAAGAATGCAAACAAGATAAAAGCTTCAATCATGACAACCATGAAGTTGTTATATTAAGTGTAGGTCTTAGTGTATGACATAAAATTGTGTGTGGTTAACTGAAGCACAATGTGTGGTGGCAAGTTGGAGATCAGCTGCCGAGGAGCGCTTGGCAACATCCGGTACATGTTACCACTCCATTCCGCTCCACCTCTAATCACTCCCACCATTTTTGCTTTCTTACGCCATATTTTAAAATGCTATATAACGTTATGTTGAACAGATACAATGTTGCTCATTTCTATCTACAATAATTTTTGTGGGTAGATATCAGTTGTTCAATAGCATCTGGCAGTGCTGCAGGCACAGCATTACCAAAGAAACTGATAAATGCATTACCTCCTAACCACTTAAACAATCTCCCTCACCTCCATTATCACCACTACCTCTATTATCACCGTCTAAATCACAATTTCAATGAGGCAGAGATATATTAGCATCAACCAGAGCGAACCGTCTGATGTCCACTGCCTCCTCCCTCCCTCCCTCCCACGCACTGCATCTCACACTCATTCATCAAACGACTGTCATTCATGATACAATTTTGTTTGTTATTCATTAATAGTAAATGTACTGTATGTTACTGTAATAATCTGTGTTTATTAATACCTGTAGTCTTCATATACAGTACAATACTGTATGTACTGTACTGTATATCTCATAGGTAAAAATTAACGTCATCAGGAATGCCTCTCCATATATGCAATGGTATAATGATCCCTAAGAATGCTGTTTTGGATAGCACTATTATCCAGGAATGTATCCTGAGTGCTAAACAGGGTATTATCGTAGTGTGAAGAGCATCTAATATATTATATTAAAGTAACCATTATAAGTAATACATAACTCCCCATAACACACGTCACCAGTCAGCTGTGAGGTGGCTACTCATGTTGCCATTGTTACTTGTAATGAAATTATAAAAGTTGTGAAAAAATCATTTCAATACTCTAAAGTGACTTAAAAATATTGTAATAAAAAAAAAAAGTAGATCATTTAGTGTGTATTCTGTGTGGGAAGTAAATGTACAGTATGTGTGGGGACAGTGGGCAGTTTGTCAACAGCACATCTGGCAACTTGGCTAGTTAGGCCTGTTTCTGTTGACACATGCACCTCGCACACACCTTTAATATAAGTTATTTAATCCTCTTCACCACTGATTGTAAAGTAAAATTTATTTACAGTTTGTTGTGTCTGTCTAGCTAGCCAAGCCGTCTGCCTCCCCCAGTTTGACGTCATATACAGTACAGTGGTCCCTCGGTTAACGAACACAATTCGTTCCAGAAGGTCGTTCGTTAACCGAAAATTTCTTTAACCAAAACCATTGTTTCAATGGGATTTTGGGTAATTGGTTCCAGCTCACCGAAAATTACATACAAAGTAAAAATAAATGCAGTAAAGTACACTTACTTTGAGGTGTGTATTTAGAAGGCTCTTGGTTGATGATGATGGGAATTAGAAGTGGGGGTGGAGGAGAAGGGAGAAGAGAAGGAAGTGGGGGTGGAAGAGAAATCATCCCATGCTTCATGCCGTCATTTCACCCATAAAATTTTAAGTTCATTAGGTGTAATTCAAGATTATTTTCTTTAAATCAACACTGCACTTCTCTACATATTGTCAATATGTAAAATAAATTTCAGAATGACCAATAATTGCACTGTAAAAACATAAAAATAGTTTATGTTCAAGAGAGCCACAAGCAAGATACAAACTGAAGCGTTGCTGGGTGAGTCAAGTGGCTGGTTGGCGCACCAAAAACTAGTTTCCTGTCCTGCAATTATGTTAAATAAGTGTTAAAATGACTAAAAATTTTAATGTAAAACTTGGAAAATTATTGAATAGTACAACCTTTTTGATATTTATTCAAATGGGAACGAATTTAAGCCCAAGAACCGATTACTGTATTGGCGGACTAATATTCCAGCTGGCGAGCAAGCGAAAACATGTTGACATGATTTCGTAAGAATTTCAGTAACCGAATTTTTGTTCGTTAACCGAAATGAAGATTCTTAAGGAAAGTAATTTGTTAACCGAAATTTCGTTAACCGAGGTGTTTGTTAACCGAGGGATCACTGTACACAGCACAGGAGGAAGGGAAGCGGAGGCAGTGTTCAAGCTGGGCTGAGTTTCTATGGCGAACCTTGCCTTATCCCTTTGGCCCTTGGTGACGTTCAAGAACGTCCGCCTATTTTCCCGCCATTTTTGGGGGGGGGGGGTTGATTTTTTTCTCGATTTAACCCCGCGTGGGGGGTACTACCAGCAGCACCCTTACCTGGGGCTTAAGGGTTAATGGTTTTAGCAAAATATTTTCATTTAGATAGT